GGGTCGGGAGCACGGCATGGTGGGGGGGTCGCACCTGGGGAGGAGGTAAGGGGCAGAGCCAAGGTAAGGGGTGCTGGAGGTGCAGGGATCCGGGGGGGGGGCATTGGGGGAAGAGCCTGGGCTGGGAACACTGCAGGGAGGATGTTGGGGAAGGAGTGAGCAAGGGAGGAGACGAGTATTATGGAAGGGGAGACCCCTCTGGTGCACTGACCCAGCAGCAGGCACTGCGTCTGCCCGCCACAGGGAGAGGAGACCCTTGTGCCCCACCCCGGCGTGGGGGTCACACTGCAGGGGACCTGGGATCCCCGGCCTGGGCCTTGCCCACACTGACCTCGGCTGAGGACAGGGTGGCCACAGTGGGGGGGTGGTGAAGGATGTTCCCCACCCCCTTTGCTCAGGGACTGTCCGCGCCTGCAGGGTGGCTCTGACCAGGCCGTGTGCACCCCGTGTGCCCTGGGGAGAGGCCACCGTGCATGTTCAGGAGCAACATTCTCCTATCTGAAGTGCTCAGGGAGAAGCTCCAGTGCCACAGGGGAACACTGACAGCCACGACTGAGATACCCCAGGAGATGTCAGCCACAGGCAAGGAGCTCCAGGAGATGCTGTTGGCCACGGCCAAGCTGTCTGCTGAGGCCCCGGCAGCCATGCCCAGCGTGGTGCTACCCACTGAGGTTGGGAGTGATCCCTGTGGGGTCGAGCAGCTGCCCTGCCCTGGAAAGTGGGGAACTTGCCCTAGCGAGGTGCCCCCCATCGTGATGCCGGTGCTGCCCGCCTCCCTGCAGACACCAGCAGAGCAGTCCAGACGGTTGGTGCCCCGGGGAAGCTGCTTGATCCACAACTGGCAGGAGGAGGTAACTCCCCACCATGCCTACAGTGCCATAAAGGGAAATGCCCCTCCAGACCTGCCCCACCATATCCCACGTGCTGATCCTGTGAAGACCCTCCACTCCAAGGCAGCGCCCTCTCTTTAAATAGCTGCCCTTGGCTGAGCCAGCACTTGCTGGATGACCTTGAGCCCAACAGGATGGAAAAGGGATGAAATTCAATAGCGCAAGAGCATGAGCAGGCATGTGGGGAGTGACAGCAAGGCTTTGGGAGGGGAGTGGGGAGCTTGCTGCTAGGGCAGCAGGAGCTGGGTGTCACAGCCCATCGCAGGGATGTGGGGATGCCTGCTTGGGCAAGCCAGGCTGGGGAGGACATGAGCCAAACCATGGCACAGCCTAGGGAACCTCACGGTTTGTTTAAGTGCTGTAAGGGTGCTTGCTCAGCTGTTGGGCAACCTGGGCACTCAGGGGTTGGAGAAGACATACGAGGCTGGCTGACCCTGGGCAGGCAGGAGAGGTCAGCCCTGTCCAAATTGCAGGTACCCCATCCCCAGCTTTTCCAGGGAGTCTGCTGGAAGCACTGTCCCCTTCTTTTTTGCAGCTTGTGCTTCCGCAGCTACTCCCAAGGCTTGTGCCAGGCACCTGCCTGTTGACATGTCCTTAGGTATGAGGCAGTGCCCCTAATTTGTGGATGCTCAGCAGGAGCGGGTGACTCACTCTCACCTCCCAACTCTGCCCAGAGCCCCGTGGGACTATCAAAAGCCTAAAAGCCGGGAGTGGGCAGAGGCCACTGCAAGGTGGGCTCCTGTCCCCTTCCCACAGCCCCCACTGTTCATCCCAGAGAGCCACAAACCACATGGACTCCATGCCAGGGTGTGAGCCAGGCAGCGAGGGCTTCACCTATCGGCACGGCCACCACGGGCTGCTGGTCCACCAGCTCCTCTCCTGGCCCACCGACAGCACCACCACGAAGGACACCTACCGCCCACCACACAGGGCCCAGCTGCTGGGGCGAGGTAAGGCTGAGCACTCCCACCCCTCCAAGCTGTGTGACTCCCCCAAAAGGCAGCAAGGGGATCTTAACTGTGGGGCTGATGGCACCTTCCTCCCCGCAGGGCAGCGGAAGGCCATGCTGGAGTCCATGCTCTACCAAAAATACAGGCAAGCCCAAACCCCTGCGTGCCACCCACCCCTGTAGCCATGCCCTGGATGAGGGGACCCTGCTGGGGGTGACTGTCCAGGCTGGGGGGAGACTCCAGTGCTGAGGGGTGCAGGATCTGTTCTTCTGGCAGGAAGGAGATGCTGGAGAAGATCTGTCCCCAACAGATGCCCATGGAGTTAGTCTCCACCACACACCAGGACTACCACGCTAGGGGCTGCCAGTTCATGCCACCGGCCACCACCCAGGTACAGGCAGGGGTCAGTCCCTCCCTGCCCCCAGCTTGCAGCAGCCCTCAGGGAGCCTGCAAGGCTCCCGTGTCCCCCCTGACCATGCTGTCCCCCCTGCCCACTGTCACATCGCTTCCACCTGCAGCCCCACAACTACCGCACGGAGCAGCCCTGCAGCTTCTGGCTGGAGCAAGCCCGCCAACTGCCTGTAAGCACCCTGGCACCCTGCCCTGGCAGCACCCAGAGGACTAGGCTGCCAACAGGGACCTCTTCGCTTCCTTCCCCTCCAGGGTGTCACCAGCATCCGCAGCTGGGACAGTCCCTTTCGGAGGAACGCAGCCTTCTCCACTCCCATCACCGAGTACCTAGAGCAGCCCCTGCCCTGTGTCCCCCTGAGCAGCTGGCTCAGGCCCCAAAAGCAATAAAAAGCAAGGGGGCACAGGTGGTCCCAGCGTCTTTGCTGCCCCAGGGTTGTCCTCAGGCTGGGTGTTGGGAGGGGGAATACCATGTCCTTGGCATCCTGATCCCTGTGCGGCCATGCAGCTCAGGCATGGGGACACCCTCCAGCCCCTCTGCAAGTCACTGCTGCCCCAAAACATGCCAGGGCCCCAAGCCTCCTTCCTTGGGCAGGGAAGGAGAACCGCTGGCACAGCCCCATCCCCTGGGACATGCCCTCTCCCAGTGCCTGCAGCGGGTGACTTGTGGCCCCCCGTCCCCAGGCACAGGTGGCTTCCAGTAAGAGGCGGCGGCGTGGCCAGAGCATGAGCTCAGAGGAACGCACCGCAGTCCTCACGCCAAAGCAAACCCTGCCGTGGCGGCCCTGCCTTCCCAGCACCGCCCCAAGCCCTCACCAGCTGCTGCTGGCTCCCCGTGCCTGCACCCCCACCCCACGCCGCAGCCAGACCCCTGCGGTACAATGCTCTGGAATGCTCCAGGCAGCCGTCCCCCACCCAGGCTGAGCTCGATGTTGGGGTCCTTCCCCACAGCTCCCCACCCCACTTGGTGCTCCAGGGCAGAGCAAAGCAGAGGTCGGGACGGAAGGATTTGGGGAAGTTTGTATTTCAACAAAATAGTTTGCAGCGATTCCTATATTTACACCTGGGGAGGGGGGGTATTTACATGACCTGGTGGGGCTATATACAGGGGAAGGGGAGACTGGGGAGGGGGGGAGCCACAGCACTGATGCCTGTCCCAGCCAAGGGGTCAGTCCTGGCAGGGGCCCCCGTTTCCCTCCTGCTCCAGGGAGGGGGTGACATGGGCACAACTTCTGCCAGGGGACAGGTACTGAGAAGAAATGGCAAAGTGCCCTGCGGGGCAGCCAGGCCCCGGGAGCAGCTCAGATCCAGCTGAGCCATGGGGGAAGAGGGCAGGGGCAGCAGGACCCCAAAGAGTTGGGGGATAGGGGGCCCCCCACAGGCTGGATTGGGGCCAGATTTCCCCCCCTCCAGCAGAGGCTGTGGGGGGAGGTGGGCGTTGCTGGTGCCGATGGAGGGGGTCAGGCGGTGCCATGGCCGCTGGCCCCCCATGCCCAAGCCCTGCTGAAGCAGGGGGGCGGGGGCGGGGCAGGTAGAGCTGCAGTGACAGGGGGGGTGCCGGTGCATCCTGGGGTGCCAGGCGCTGGGAAGCATGGTGGCCCCACTGGGGATGGGGACTCTGGCACTGCCGCCGGGCTCAGATGACTTTGGAGTCTTTCCTCTCACCCAGCAGCCAGTACGTCCGCATCTTCCCCTTGCCCTGGGGTGCAGAGGGGGGCGTTGAGACCCTCCCCGCTCCTGGTGCTGCTCCCTAAGTGCCATCCCCAGCACCAAGGGGGACAAGGGTTTCCAGCCCCAACACACCCACCCATCATGTGCCTGCCCCTGCAGCAAGAAGGGCTGGCAGCCCACCAGGGTCCCCATGACATCACCTTCATCTCCACGTCCCCGCGCAGCTCCAGCTCAAAGCAGCCAAACTCATCCAGGACCTCCTTGGTGGTGGATGAGACGTGGATCTTCAGGGCTGGGTGGCACAGAAGAGCAAAAAGGACATGGGTGGGTCCAGGAATGGGGCATGACCCGTGGCACCAGACCAGACCCCAGCTGCTAGCCCCATGGCTCACCCTGGCCATTGGACTCCATGCGGGATGCAGTGTTCACTGTGTCCCCAAACAGGCAGTACCGTGGCATCTTCAGACCCACGACTCCGGCGCACACAGGACCTGTGGGCACAGAGACGCCCGGGGCTGCTGTAGGGCGGGTGCACGGGTGAGCATCCCCCAGCCACATTGCTGGCCAGTGCCAGGGCTCACCAGTGTGTATGCCGATGCGCAGGTGGAGCTGGTCGTTGGGCCGGTGCCGGATCTTGAATGTTTTAACGGCCTCAAGCAGGGCCAGGGCCATACGGACGATCTCGCGGGCATGCAGCTTCCCGTTGCGCACCGGTAGCCCCGACACCACCATGTAGGCATCCCCAATGGTCTCAACCTGCAGGGTCAGGGGAGCAGGTACACCCCAGGCTCCTCGCTGTCCACCCTCACTTTGGGAGGCTGCACTTGCTCACCCACCCCCTCACCTTGTAGACATCAAAGTTGTCAATGATGGCATCAAAACAAGTGTAAAGATCATTCAGCAGCGTCACAACCTGGATGGAGGAAGGGTGTGTGTGGGGCTGGGAGCAGGCACGTCCCCCCAGACCCAGAGACAGCACTGCCAGGGTATGAACCCTGCTGCCAGCCCCACAGAGGGGGTAGCCCCCCAGCCCTGCTCTCACCTGCATGGGTGTGCTCTCTGCTGAGAGGGCAGTGAAGCCCACGATGTCACTGAAGTAGATGGTGACGCTGTCGAAAGCCTCAGCCCGCACTGTCTCCCCACGCTTCAGCTGCTCCGCCACAGAGCTGGTGAGGACAGGGGGGATGGTGGTGGGCTCCCACCCCAAATGTCCTGCTCCCCCTGTGTCCCATGCCCTACACCAGCATGGAGAGCTTGCAAGGGACCCCATGCTTGCCCAACAGCGGGTGCATGCTGACCCCATGCCAACCCTCAGACCCACACACTCCCATCTCTCCCCCTCTCACTGGGGCAGAATCTGGTAGAGGAGGTTCTCCGCCTTGCGCTTCTCCTCCAGGTAGGCCTGTGTCCGTTCCTCCACCAGCTTCTCCAGGTTGTTGGCATACTGCTCCATGCGTGACAGCAAGTTGTCCAGAATGCTGGTGCTGCCCTCCCTGCCAGGGTGCAGGCAGCTGACACCGCGGGAAGAGGTGCGCCCCCACCACTTCCCCCATGGCTGTCCCTGCTCCCACCCAGGGCCACCCTCCCCACTCGCCAGCCACTCACTTGTTGAATCTGCGGATGAAGATCTTGATCTGGCTGAAGTCAGGGCGCTCAGCCGGCTCCTGCGCCCAGCAGCGCTCCATCAGCACTGCCAGCTCCTCGCTGTGCACCCCGATGTCGATGGAGGGGCGGAAGAAGGGCTTCTGGCTGTTACGCACCTTCTGCACTATCTCTGCCGGGGGTGGCCAATGGTGAGCACTGGACCATCCCTGTAGGGACAGGATCACCCTCTCTGCCCTCCACACCCACCTTTGGGGCTCAGGTCCATCCCCTCGATGTAGAAAGGTCCGTTGCGCAGGGCGACCTCCTGCACGATGATGCCGAAGCTGTAGACATCAGCTTTCTGCATGCCGGGGGTGGGCAGCCGCCCCTTCTGCAGCAGCTCCGGGGCTGTCCACAGCTTCTCTGGTGGGACACAGCCATGGGGTGGTGAGGCAGAGCCATCCCATCCCCCGGTGCCCCTGAGCAGGCACTCACTGGCATAGAGGGCATGTGTGTCCTCGCCGTCGCAGGGTGAGCGGAAGCTGGCCAGCCCGTAGTCGGTGATCTTCAGCACGAAGCGGCTGTCCACCACACAGTTGGATGACTTGAGGCTGCCGTGGTGGCCAATGATGCTGTTGTGCAGGAAGGCCATTCCCTGGGACAGATGGACATGGTGAAGCTGGACGTCTCTCAGGCACCTCCCCCAGCCCCTCGTGCCCCTCGCTTGGGTACCTTGACGATGTCGTTGATGAGGGAGTAGCGAAACATCCAGTCCAGGTTGATGCTCTCATTCTCCAGGACATCCTGAGGCAGGATATTGAGTAGATCCCGCCAAGCACCCACGGAATGGTGGCATCAGCACCAGCCTTACCAAGCACCCAGCTGCAGGGGGGCTCTGCAGCACACACACACACACACCCCCTCCCTTCCACCAGCTTCTGATGCCTGCTTGGGCAGCTCTGCTGCGAGTCATCTGGGGTTTGGGTGGCCACCAGCATCTAGAGTCCTGTCCTCAACACCCAGCCCAGCCAGGTCCTCAGGAATGTCTAAGTGTCAGCCCTGGTACCCCAAGCCCCCCTACCTGCAGACTGCCCCGCGGGCAGTACTCGGTGATGATGCAGATGTTGGGAGGGTCGATGCACGCCCCGATGAAGCGGGTCAGGTGGTTGAACTGGATGTCCCGCATCTGGAGGTGGAAATGGAGCCGAGATGGGCTTGAGCTCAGAGGGGACAGGCTGCTGCTCTCACCAGCTCCCCCCCTGCTAGGACAAGTCCCTGCACCCCCAAGAAGGTGCCCACCCCAGTCCAGACCCCAAACCTACATGCTTCAGCTCGAAGAGCACCTGTCGCGTCAGCTCGATGCGCTTCTTGTTGATGTGCTTGATGGCCACCACGTTGCCCTGGGGTGCCAGAGAGAGGGAAGAGCTCATCACACACCAGGAATATTTGGGGAGGGGAGGAAGGTGCCAGCATTCTATAGGGCTGGGGTGCAGCCAAGGGGGAGCACTCCAACAAGGCAGGGGGATTTCAGGAAGAGAGCTCAGCTCCCTGCCTGCTGCACTGACCTTGAAGTGGCCTGTGTTGGCAAAGATCTGGTACTTGCCGTGGGTGGTCATCAGGGAGCCGTAGCTGGAGCCACGCTGCAGGGAAGGAAGGGGTTAAGGATGGGGACCCTGGTGCGGAGAGTTACAGACACCAATGGAGCAAGGCAGGGATACCCAGAGCTGTGCAGGGGATGGTGCAGGACAAGCTCTGGAGGGTCAGGACAAGCTCTGCATGCTCTGTAGGGAAGGTGAAGGCTCTAGGATGAGGTATGGTGTGCTGCAGGGGATGCAGGGGATGGATAAAGTGTGGCTCTACTGGGGATGGGGAGCTGTGTAGTGCTGTGGCTCTGTAGGGGATGGAGGGCCATGTAGGGGATCAACAGAGGAGGAGTGTCATGCAGCACAGGGGCAGGGGCAGGAGGAGGGTGGTACCCCCAGGCTGGCAGTTCTCACCAGGGACAGGGTGAGCCGGCTGCCTGCTGCCTTATGGTACCGCTCAGGACTCCCGAATTGCAGCTCATCCCAGCGGATCCTCCAGAGCATGCTGGCAAGCTCCTTCTCCAGCATCAGCTTCCTGGGGGGCACATGGGGGTCAGGCCCCCATTCCCCTTGCACTGCCTGCCCCCCGACCAGGCTGAGGGGTGCCTGGTGCCCAGGCACAGGCTCCCCCAGCCCCAACTGACCTGAAGATAAGGAAGCTGGAGATTCCAAACATAACGAAGGTGAGGCCGGTACCCAAAGCTACGATAGCCAGCATGGAGAGGGGGGCTGCAGGCAGGAGGGGATGTCAGTATGGCCAGCTGGCCACAGGTACCAGGCTGCCATGCACCCACATGGAAAGGTGCTGAGGACCAAGGGATGTGGGGACCAGAACACCCACTTTTATCGCAGGAGGGGTCATCCACATCAAAGACGCAGGGTGGGTTATCCAAGGGGGGAGCCCCCTTCACCCAGGGTATGGGTCGTCCCAGCCAGTGGATCTGCTTCTCCACACCCGAGTAGTGTCCCACCACCTACGGCAGAGAGAGCTGAGCCCCCCTCAGCCCCCAGCATCCCATCCCCCATCCCCAGCTGCCGGCAGAATCCCAGTGCCGGCCCCCACCTCATATTGTCCACTCTCAGGGTCACTCATGGCCCATAGGTTGAAGTCAGTGTCCCGGTCATTATTGCTGTCCATGCTCACCAGCCCCGTCACCCCTGCGGGAAGAAGCATAGACCCAGGTGGGACAGGGACCAGGTTCCACTGCCCCAGCAGCACCCAGCTGCCCCTGTCCCACCATTACCTTGGAACTTGCGGTCCCGCATCTTCTCGATGATGTGGGTAGCATTTTTCTTGGAGCCGCCCTCCCGCAGGGTCTCATTCAGCACCATGGCGTACAGCAGCATCCCATCATAGAAACACCCCGCCACCAGGTTCATCTGCCAGGGGGAACCTCAGCACACCCACAGCCGTGTGCACAGGAGCAATCTGGCCCCAGGACCCCCACACCAGGGCCATGCACCCATCCATGGGCCCCTAACCCCACACCGAGGCCAACACACACTCTGCAGGGATGGCAGTGCCTGTGGCTGTTCCCACCAGAGACAGCCCCTCTGGCATTGCCTGTGGCCATGTCCCACCCTCTGCATCCTGGTGAGGTGACACAGCCCGGTGCAGAGGGTCCCCACCACCCCATCACACAGAGGGACTCACTCACCAGGGAGTAGTTGAGCTGCACCCCAAATTTCTGCTTAGCTCGCAGGATGAGCTGGGTTTGGAAGTGCTGGTACTCAGGGTTTTGGGGCTCATAGTAGGTGATCACCAGTACCATCTGCAACCGAGCACAACACCTCGGATCACACAACGGGGTCAGGCTGAGGAGGTCACCATCTCCAGGCAGGCAGGCACAGCTCACCTGGAAAGCCTCACGCAGTACCGAGTCCTGTCCCGGGCTCTGCTGCCAGGGCTTGAATGGGTCATGGGAAGAGTCACCCCGCAGGCTCTCCCCGAAGACGTCCAGGTAGAAGAAGACATAGTCGCCGTTGGTGAGGTTCTCCCGCTGTGCCAGCTGCATGATCTGCTGCAGCATCTCCGGTGGCCCGCAGAGATACACCACTGCCGGCGAGATGTCGGGCGTCAGGTGGGCGATGCCACCCCACCCCGGGGCACCCCACCCAGGTGTGGGGAGGGCTGCTTTCCCTTGGGGCGATGGGGCACAGCAACCCCAGGGGCACAGTCAGTGGCTGCGGGGAGGACAGAGCAGGCGGATGGGGCAGTGCTTGGCTCATCACCTTGTCATGCCAGAGTCCACTCAGCCCCACTGCCCTCACTGTACCTGACCTGCTCTTGCCACATCAACCATCTTGGGCTGAAGGTGTAGAGGAGAACAGGGGAACCCTTGCTCCAACATATGAGGCAGACACCCCACGCACAGTCTGCATGCGCCCTGCTCTAGCATCCATGCACACCCTGCTCCAGCAAAAGCCACCCATGGGATGTACATCTTCCCCAGCACCTCCCATCAGCCCCAGCCACGGGCCGGGAGGGCCAGGAGAAGCATCGAGGCCGTGCGCCAGAGGCCCCTGGGGAACCCAGGCTGGGGAACGGGACAAGCCCATGTTTGGGTTCGTGGCTGGCCGGCCCTGTGGCAGGAATGCGCAGGTTCCCGGATTCCAGCACCTTCGGCGGCCGCTGGCGTTAATTGGAAACAGAGCATCTCACTGGTGCGACCCACACGGCAAGGGGGTGCCCGGGCCCCGTCTGGCCGCCCTGTGTGCCCCCAACTGCTGCCTGGAGATTTTCCAGCTCAGATGGGATGCCCACCTGGCATGCTGCATGGGGCTGGAGTGGGGCTGGCACAGAGCACCACAGGCTGTGGGGACAGGCACCTGAGAGTGTCTGAAACCCCCCCGAGCAGGGGCCCTCCTTGCCCTTGCTGAGGATCCTGCCACTGCCTCCTCCCTCCCCCCGGAAAACCAGGGCCCCTGCTCCAGCCAGCCTGGCTGGGAACCCGGGATTGAGCAACGGAGGAGGCGGCGGCGGGTGCTGGAGGAATGTCACGCTCGGGCACTGGCCCCAGTGCACAGCCCTTCTGCATGGGGCCCAGCACCACAGCCAGATCTGGAGCACGGGGAGAGGGCTGGGGACAGCAAGGAAGCCCCTGACCTGGGATGGGGTCCCTGCTCTGGAGGGCACCCAGCCATGCAGGCAGGAGGGCTGACAGGGTCACCCACAGGGGCAGAGAGGCAGCCCATGGGTGGGAGAAGAAACGCAGCACAGCCACCCTGGGGAATCCGCAGTGACGTGGGGAGCTGCTCCTGGGCATGGGGGAGAGGGGAATCGAAGCAGCTTGGGCTGTGCATGAGCAAAAGCCCATTTCAGGGTCTGAAATGGTTTCCTGCTGAGTGCTGCAATACCTCAAATAAACACTCTTGGCTTCCCCGCTTCACTAGTCCCACACCCAGACATGTGTCGTCCCCAAATTTCTAGGCCAAGATGGGCAAGCTCAGCATCTCCCAGGCACACAGAAGCTGAGGGTCCCTCCATGGGGACACAGCACAGGACCCTCCCCATCCCATCACAGGCGCCAGGAAAAGGCAGCCCGCGGCACCACACGGGCTGGGGAGCCACAACAGCTGGTGACAGATGGTGGGACATCCCGCACAGCCGGCCCCCGTGGTGGCGGCAGCAAAAGCACGCCTGGTCAAAGGCCACCAAGCAAAGGGATCGATGGCGCCTGGACGGCTCCCCGGGGACATGTTGCAGGAGCTGTGCAGAAGGGAAGGGTCAAAGCTCTCCATGACACTGGCAGCTGCCTCCAGCTGGCAGCCTCCTGCCTGGCCTGCAGCACCCCTGCCTGCTCATGCGCCCCCTGGGGGGTTAGCGAATGGCCAAAGGCAGCCTCAGCATCACCAAGCCAAGGGGAATGAGGTCCATGCAGCCTCCAGGCATTTATTTAAGGAGGCAGAGTGCACAGCCCCAGGGGATGGGCAGGACCCTTCGCCTGCAGATGGTGTGGCAGGACAGTGCCTGAGCCCTGAGTGATGAAAGATAACCCTAAACTGAGGGCGAATCCTGATTTCAGGCAGCACATCCCTGCAAATCCCAGTTTTGAGCAGCGCCACCAGCACCAGGCACTGCAGCAAGGAGACCTTTGCCCTGGCCAAGCAGCTGTCCCGCGCCCAGGGGTATTGTGGTGGTGAGGACCAAACGCACTCCCCTCCCAGCGGCAGCACCCAGCCATCTCCCCAGGCAGGGGACCTGGGCTTTGCAGGCAGATGCTCTGGTAATTCCCTCAGCCACAGCTCTAATTGTATCAGCGCTTTTGCAAGTGGCAGGAGAGACGTGGGCCCCTGCACGTCACCCAGACACCAGTGAGAGGGGCAATGAGAAGTGCAAGGTGGATACACACATGACAGGGCGATGCACCCACATCCCCGCGTGCCCACTCTTTAGAGCCATGAACATTGGGGATGAGCAGTGTTGGAGTCACACGGTGGGGCAGGGAAGCAGCTTTCCCCAGGGAAGGTTTACCAAACCCCTCCTGACCATCATCTGGGAGAAGGGACGTGACGCCAAGAGGGATGACATTTGGTGTCATTGTAGGGCATGGACATGGATGTGGCTGTGACTGAAGATCCTGCTTCCCTCTTCATGCCATGCCAGGCAGAGGTGGGCACCCTGGCACAGCCTGCAGGGTCTCCACTCCCTGCCCCGTACCCCCAGGTTAGGAAAGCACCTAACATCAGCATCACAGCCCTGAGCACCCATCCCTGTCGGGGCCAAGCACTCATCCCCACACTCTGCCCCCACCTCTGGGCTGTCACCAGAGGGGCCCAGACCCCACGACATCCCGGCTCAGAGGGCTCCCAGGTCTCTGCCCACGCCTGGCTGCCTCCCTCAGCAGTCATGACCCCCTGCCTGCACCAGGAGGGATCGATTCCCATCGGGGTGATTTACGGCACCAGGCCGGAAATGTTGATGGGACTCGCTGATTTTAGCCTTTTTCCCTGCACAGCCCTTTGCCCCTGCCCCATGCAAATCTCTACACCCCATGGCTGGTGACAGCACACACAAGGGACCTTCCATCCCAGCCCCTTAGCCAAGCAAAGAGAGAGGCAGCCACAAGCTGCTCAGCTCCTGCAGCCCACCATTGGATGCCAAGCCCCATGGACACAGCCCCTCTGGCATCAGTCAGTCCAGCCTCAGTGACCCCAGTCCAGCACCTTAAGGTGCCCCAGTCACACACCCCCAGCCTGGTCCCACACAGCCTTGGCCATGTCTCCTGTTGGCCCATCTGGCTCCACTCATCCCAGCTTGATGTCCTTCTTAATGACACAGCATCTCAGGATCCATTAAGAAGCATCATGGAGCGGCTGGCTCCAGGATCGATACATCCCTCTCATCAATAATGAAAGAGCATCAGGCTGCCCTTGCTCTCCAGCTGCCTCTGTAAGCCCCTCCATTTCCTCCCACTCCCAATATAGCTGCTCTCCTGGGGCACTCACAAGGCACCAAATTGATTTATCCCTCCATCGGCAGGGTGGGGCCATCCCCAGCCCCATCCCTGGGGCACAGCAGGGATAGGCACAGCCTGGGGCACCCAGGTGCCAGGCTGGGGGCCTCTGCCTGAGCATGGCACAGTGGCCTCGGCATGTCAGCACCAGGCTGCTTGGGGCATGTAACCAGGGCCTGTGCTGCCCTTCAGATGGCCACGTCCACACCATCACCTTCACCCTCCGAGGAGGTGGCTGGATCCTGCCTGCCCCTGGGGAGGCCCCAATCCTGCTAATGCAGACGGTGGGGTGGCCCCAGTGCCACTCACGCCACGCGTCTCACCAAGATGAGGGTCCACCCTGGCTCTCCCCCAGCACAGGGTGACTAGGCTGGGGGGAAGGGAGGGGAACCCTGTGAGCCCCCCACACACTCTGGACCCCCCCACTGGCACTGGGGTGGCCTGGAGGTCTCAGGTCCTGCCTTGTCCGCTGTGTACCCACTTCCCCATGCTGGTCCTGCTGCTCCCCCAGCCCTACTGTGACAAAATGTGCCCACCCCTCACTGTGCCCTACATTCAACCTGTTTTGCCCACCCCTCCCCATGCCCCACAAGTCTCACGGAGACCTCTGCCCATCCTCATGCCCCACATGGGTCTCCCTGTGCTCCCAGCCCCACCTTCTGTCCCACATGGGTCCCACTGTTCCCTGGCCCCTTGCTGTGCCTCACACAGGTCTCACTCTGCCCGCCCCTGGCTGCATCCCACACAGGTCCCACCATGTCCTTGGCCCCTTGCTGTGCCCCACATAGGTCCCACTGTGTTCTTGGCTCCTCACTACACCCCACACAGGTCCCAGCTGTGTCCTCAGACCCTCACGGTGCCCCACAAAGGTGCCAGTGTCTCCGTGGCCCGGTGCTGTGCCCCACAGGGCTCCCACTGGGTCCCATCCCCTTGCTGTGCCCCACAGGGATCTCACTGCCCTCTTAGCCCCTTTCTGTGCCCTACATGGATCTCAGTGCCCCCCTAAACCCTTGCGGTGCCTCAGACAGGTCCCAGTGCCCCCTTGACCCCTTGCTGTGCCCCACACGGGTGCCACTGTGCTCTTGGTCCCTTGCTGTATCCTACGTGGGTCCCATTGCGACCTCATCCCTTTGCTGCACCCCAGATAGGTGCCACTGCACCCTCAACCCCTTAGGGTACCCTGTATGTGCTCCACAGGACCCCAGTCCCCTCGCTGCACCCCAGACAAGTCCCACCACACCCCCAGCCCCTTTCTGTACCCTACGCGTGCCAAACAGCACCCCCGCCCCCCCACTGTGCACTACAGGGACCCCACCGCATCTTCTGTCCCCCGCTGCGCCCCGCGGAGGATTTTACCTCCTCCCCGAGCCCTGCGCGGTTCCCCCGCAGGGAGCCCGCTCCACTCCGCGCCCCCCCTCCCCCTCTCCGCGGGCGCTCAG